CCAAAATCCGTTTTGACCTCTGCCCAGCAGCGCCCTTCCATGCCAGCATCCCGCGATGACGGAAGAGACAAAAGAGACAGCACCCATCTCTCTGCGAGGGGCGGGTGGGCGCAACACACAAAGAGGAGCCACACGCTCTACATAATCAGAGTCTTAAATTAAAACCACAACAAATATCAATACTTTGGCGTCCCGCCCCGGGTCCCCAACAATCTCTCGATGAAGCCCTCGCCTCGAGCCCTCCCCCCGGGGCTAGCCTCCATTCCTTTCCTTGGGGTGGCACCGGTGCTGCTGCGCCGTGATTCTGGCGACGCCCACGCGTCAGACGCGGCCGTTGCTCCAGCCCGGCCCCCCAACGCCCCGGCGTCATCCGGGTTTTCCAAACCCGACTCGGAGGCGTAGGTGTTGCTCTTCACGTCGAAGCCGAGGCCTCCCCAGGGACGGGCTTCGTCGTGGGAGCGTCGCCCGTTGCCACCGCGAAGAGTCTTGACCTGATCGGAATTGACGACACGAGATGGTAATCCAACAAAAATGGAGGCATTCGTTACAGGCGGTGTGGGGCACGGAGAGAGTGGGCTGTTTTTGAAGGAGATTTTAACGGCAGTATCGACGTAGGGCTAGGATCTAAACGCGCGTCCTCTTGTTCCGGTGAGGCTGTCCGATGTTTCAGCGGCCAGTCGGGCGCGCGCGATCCATTCGTTTCCATGCAGGACAAGTGAAGCCACAATGCACGCCTCCTTTATCGTCCCCCATGACCTGCCATGCATTCTCGCACGTCGGCCTGAAAGATCGGTTGTTCCTTCCACAACACATCCACCTACCTAATTCAAATGAAACAAAATCGTTACAAGCCCCCTCCCTGTCACAAACCTCTTGCGCGTGGTGGCTGCCGCCGCCTCCCCTGACGGCGCGTCTCTCCAGGTGCGAGTGCGCGCTGGGCAGTTGTTTTTGCCGCTGTGCCTCTTGTTCCAACTTGGCCACCTGTTTTTCACGCCACGAGGAGTATGTACACAGGAGACATCGCGGGGCGGGTTGGGGGGGGATTAACCAATCATATTGCCCAAAATGTAGGACGTGCAGAACAACACGCGAATACCCACACTCTTGGCGTCTTCCACTACCCGAGCTGAGATAGATAGATGACTCCAAGCCTCGCTAGTAAACAAAAACTATGGCACAAAATCACCGACCCGATGTCCTGCCACAACTACATTAGTATTAGTAATAGAACCATCACCGAAGTACAGCGCACCTCTTGTCTGAAGGCGAGCAGCTTCTTCGTCGTGTCCTCCTTTTGAGTCTTGAGCTTGGTGGAGGCAGTCACGAGGTCTTGCTCCAGCTGCTTGATCAGGACCTCTCTGTTCAAAGTAAGACAAACCACATAGTGTAGTAGGAAAGCACCCCGGAAACCCAAAAACAGGGTCAGCACGACGTGACACAAACACATCTCAGGCGGGTCTCGTACAACCGATTTCTCGAAAAAAAAAAAAAAAATCAATGCTTTTCAAGATATCCATGGAGGACCCCCAGAACTCCTCATCAAATAATGCCGAAACAAAAATGCACGTCCCCCAAACCCAATGAACAGAGACGCATCACGCCAACTCGCGAGTACCGTGTGCACGGTGGCTCTCCAGGACTTCCAAGTTACATCACATGTGATAAAGTATAACCGTATGCATACGTCGCCACACCCTGTAACCGGTAGAATATTAATACTTTATTCGAATACACGAACCTGTTCCGGACTTTCTTCTCGAAGGCGGCTCTCTCCAGCTCAACCTCCCCGAACTTCCAGAGCAGTCTTCGGTGGACCTCGCTCAGCTGTGCCAGGCGCTGCAACAGCGCAAGCAGATGGCGAATACAAAAAAAAACAGGTACATCAAAACCATGTTCCATACACGCCGGAGGGAAAGCAAACCGCATCATAACGAAAAGGAAGAGATACTTACTAGCTTCGTGACGAGAGGTTCGGGCAACTACTGCGTAACTTCGCAGATGAGGATGATAAAATAACAATAGCAAGCACTTGCCCTGTAGGATAGCACAGAATACCCAAAATAGTACGGACCAAGCTGGCCTAAACTGCCCACCTACACTACCAGATACTCTCGCTCGTGGGCAACCTGACCAGACATGAGGATGCAAGGACAAAGAGTAAAAACACGGCAGGTTTGTTAGAGCGCGAATTGCGCGCAGCAAGCGCCTGTCGCCCTCTTGACCCCAAAAAAAAACGTAAATGTTGTTGTCTGTCGTTTTTCACCTGCTGAAGCATGATCTTCTCCTTCTTCGGCCGCTCCAGATCGGCCGCGTCGCCCTGAATGCAGCGTGCGCCACGAGCAATGATAAGGTGTCGGCTTCGGTTCGGAAATTGAAGGACAGTCAGCAGAAATCTACATGTTTATCTGTACGTGCTTTACTGCAGGGTATGAGTGCACAATACACAAGCGGAACATGTGCTACGATGTTGAGTACAACAGCAGCAGCAGTAGTGGCAACAACACGGATAGAGAAACCCACTCGCACGATGAAATAGAAAGCAACCTCCGGGTGCCCGTTGCGCTTCATGCACCTAAAAATTAAACGAATTCGAGGCGCGCTTGTTATACCAAACAGGCAACACCACATCACCAACAGCAACAACACATGTAACTTAACACGATCAAACAACACCACATCATCGACAGCCGAACCAACACAGTACGGTAGACGACACCTGGGAACACGGGCCTTACCTGCGCTTCAGCCGCCCTGTCTTGCTCCATCTCCATGCGTCGCTCCACGCTCTCCTCGAGGTCCTGCTGAAGGTGCTCGCAGTTTTGCTGGTTGGCAGCCAGCTGCCGCGCCGACACCTCCTTCTGCACAAGCAGCTGCCAAAAATAAAGGTGTGAATTGCGATAAACACGAAGGTGGTTTCAAACAAACGTAACCATGGGTGGCGTTATGGGTATTGCGCCGACGTTTCCTTGCATTTTCTCTTGCACGACTGGCTGGGAACGTAACATCACGTACATTGCGTGAATTAAATATGAGTAGGACACACAAAACGCGACTTATTGTATAACTTCAACTGCTGCGATCTCATGCAATGCCCCCCACCCCGCCAGGTTATCGCATCGCACCTGCTGCGCCCTTTGCATCGATCTCCACTGCTCCGCGATAAGCCTGGCGTCTCTTTCCCTCCATCGCTCTTCCCGTTCAAGCACCAACGAGATCGCGGCCTCAGATGCGCCAGCGCTGTCAGGCGGACAAACGCAAAATAGAAGCGATTTGGTCAGTTGATTATTCCAGACTTCTCGATGGTTTTACTCCCTCGATCGTGTAGCTGTCATTCGAACTCGGAGCCAAGCCAGAAACAAGTAGCATAGTCACGCGGAGTCAGAAAGTATCCCAAAATGTCTACCAGCCACAACAAGTAATTCGAGATGTGCATCAAAGTAGGCAAAAAAAAAGCACCAGCCGACCTGGGCAGAAACCCTTCTGTTGCCTATTATTTGTTTGGTACAATAGTAGAAAAAGGACACACACAAAAAAAAACATTTCATGCTCTGATACACCCTAAATTTCTTCCTGGCCCCATTCCCCACTTCCCGGCATGCTTAACCCTAGCACAACAACAAACGCACACCAACCAACAAACACACAAACATAAAAGTGTTTTGTGTTTTCAACCGCACCGAGACTGACATCTTTTCATTGGTCAGGCGGTTAGGGCGGTCAAACACACAAACATAGAAGTGTTTCGTGTTCTCAACCGCACCGAGACTGACATCTTTTCAATGGTCAGCCGGTTAGGGCGGTCGATACGAATAATAAAGGCACACCCCTTTTCTCCGTATACGTGGTCGGCTGCATACCGGGCACCCAGCCCTACCTCCAGTATTCAGCGAAGAGACAACTTCAATAACCCCATCCGTGGTGTCACGCAGCACTTTTACCGGCACAATACCGCGACAGAGCACTATTCAACCGGCACTACTGGAAGAAGGACCCTGCCCACCGCACCTCTCGAGCGCGAGGCAGTCCAGCTTTTCCATCTCCTCCGCCGCCACCGTCCCCTCCACCGCCGTTCCTCCCTCCACGGGCCCCCCAGCAGCAGCACCGGGGCCCCTGGCGGGGGGTGCCAGCATCTTCCCGGCAGACGTCGCCGACGCCATGTCTCCCGTCAACTCCGGGGACGTCGCCTCACCATCCCCTGTCGCCGAATTCAAACAGAGCACACGCACGTTTTCAAAGGTTTTCCGCAAGTAGCGAGGCATTGGTTTTTGTGGGAGGCTTGGGGGAAACATGGCCCGCATACACTACAATCCTGATGCTGGAGCGTGCAAAAGCACTTCAGGTTAAGTGCACGGGGATGAGCACACAATAGTTAACGGTCCGTATCAGGATGTCGCAACCCTTTTATCATCGCATCTCCTCTTGACAAGTCTATCGAGGACACACCTAGCAAGAGAACAGTCCAGATACGCAGAGACAGACAGACCGATAGAGTTGGGGAGCAACAAAACACAAACCACCACCATCTACACTCTCGGGCGACAATGTGCGTACATTAATGTGAGTTCGCCTCATCTAATGTAGCTCTAGTCCCGGAAGGCCAACGGTAAGACAAGCAAATACTCCATCAACAAACAACTCCTGAAACAGAGCTCGTTGCCTGGAAAGCCGGGACTGATACCCACGGTCGGTTTCTTCTCTCACCGGCCGCGTTGGCCTCACGTGACGGTTCGTCAGAACCCGCCGCTCCACCCTCCGAAACGACATCTCCCGAACCGCCACCACCACCACTGCCAGCACCGGAGGAGGAGGTTTCCGTCTGTCCAGCGGACGACAACGACGCTCCTAGCCCTTGCGACTTCGACGCTGCAGCGGCGGCCTTGTTGTTGGTACTTTGAGACGATGACGACGACGAGGTAACCTCAGGGAGGTCGCCGGTCATCTCGCGGAGCTCCTCGGCAAGGCGGGCGTTCTCTCCGCTTAGCTTGTCCAGCCTCAACGATTGCTCCTGCAGAGTCATCCAAGTACCGGAATGTCAGAGAGGGGGGTTACGGTCAAGAGCGGCGGGATTTTGCCCTGTTGAGTACAACCTTTGACCACGCATCCTACACACCAAATATCTGTCGTCAACCTCAGATCCCAACGTTACTCTGAGCTTGGCATGGCACCGCACTCCATTTCAGACTTGTCATGCTTACAGGCAACATCATGGCGTAAACATGTATTCTGTATCAGGACCTCCACTGCAATTCATGCGGGGGCTGGGTCCTTGTACTTCAGAGGAAAAATTAGATTTTAGATTTAGCTGTGGCCTCATCTACATGTCGACATACCTCGATTTCGAAGTTATGCCTCTGCACGATCTCTTGGACATGCGCTCGCTGGGTCTGGCAACAACGGAGGGATTGCAAGGAATAGAGGAAGGGACGGTACACGACACGTGTTGTCAACGGAATAAAAACACAACAAGGCGAACACAAAAATAGCTGAATGACGGGTCTGGACCGTGCAGACTCTCGCAGTTCTTCTGGCTGCGGTCCACAACACAAACTAGAACAACTGGTCCAGGTCATTTTCTGAATGCCGGACGACGACAACCGCAGCGACACGATTGCCTCACAGAACGGATCTGCGTTCAACTCGAAGGCCCCATCTAGCGGCCACACTACTACTGTATGACACTATAGACGTAAGAATAAAGTACCGCGGGAGAATTCAGAGGCGGTAGAATTCAGAGGTGCTGCTGCTAGAAGGTAAAAATAATAACAATCGTCGCTGGGAAGTTCTAACATGTTTTTCAGAGCCCACCGATTACATCAGGGCGTGTGTATAGGATTTTGGGTGGGGGGGGAGGGGGTGCATGACCAGGCTCAATCAAAACGTACAAAACGACAAAGCTGTGCAAGAAAGCAAATACCCGGTCGGTGCGTCATCTCCAATCCTTCATCAGACTACGAGTATTACCTCCATGTGGACCAACAAACACACTACCGTGTATGGCACAACAGGACAGCACACGTTTATCGGGATTTTGCCCCCGGGACAAACAAAAACAAGGCGGTGAGATGACAGTCTTTCGCTTGGCTAACCTCCAGGTCTGCCTCCATGTCCGCCTTCTCCGCCAAAAACGCCTCCCTCCTCGCCGAGTGAACGCCCTCCGCCTCCCGGAACAAGCTCGCCGCCTCGTTCAAGAGGTCCTCCTTCTCCTGCAACACCTGCCGAAGCTCATTCGACACTTTCTCCCTGTCGTGAAGCACCCGATAGCGGAGGCGAAAAGAAAATGTTTTCAACAGGCTCTGGGCAGGCTTGATGTCTTAAACTGAGAATATACTCTCAAGTGCTGATGGTGTCCCATCTTGCCTACGGATGCGAGGAGCGCAATGTACAATGTCATTTCTTGCAAGCTCAACTTCCGTTCACAGACACGGACTACCGTGCGTTTTCAAAACTTACTTTCTTTTGCCAAAAGAAGCCAGATAGGAGTGCGTTGGAGGTGATATACCATATCACGGAATACTTCGTACGAAACAATATTTTCCCTCCTAGTATGCGTCGTTCCAAAGACTGAGACCCTCCCCCTCCCAATACATGCCATGTTCAGCACTTGACGCAAGTCGCAAACCCCCCTTCGCCTTGCACCACCACAATGTTGCTATCTTGTACTAAATCTTCTGCCGCGCCCCCACTAGGGAGTCGTACAACTACTGTGAACTATTGTAGCAAGCATATTCTACTACGCCGGAATACTTTTTCATTGGTGAACCGGTTGAAGCGGCCCATGCTTTTTAAAAGCAACATATGCATATTGCTTCGAGCATACTTTATGCTATACTAAAAGAAAAAGAAACGCAGGTGCACACACATCACAGTCTCCCCAGTGCCCCTTACCCCACCCCAAATCACGGGACCCCAGATCATGATTACCTCTACAACAACCGTTTTCCGTTCATAGCCGTACTGAGACTCATGTACTTTCATTGGTCAGCCAGCTACTAATAGCAAGGTCCACGCTATTATAGCAAGAAAAGCAAAACACGCACCTTCGCTTGACCTCAGCCTTTTCCTCCTCCACCTCGGCCTGCAGCTCATGATTCCGCTTCGTCAGGAGCCGGATGGCGTTCGCAGCCTCCTCGTCTTGAGGAGGACGTGCCGCCTCTTTCGCCGCCGCCGCCGTGGCCTCCGGCGCCCCCGCCGCCGCGGTGCCGGGTGACCCCTCCTCCCCCCCGGCCTCGACACCACTTGCCGGGGAAGGCGGGGGCCGGGGGGGCTCCCCACCTCCGTTCTTGTACGTTCGCAGCTGCTTCTCGAGGGCGGCGATGTACGTCTGCCGCGGTGGGGAGGGAGGGGTGTGTGTTGCTGCTGTTGTCGTTTCGTGTCGTCAGTGTTCACCCACGGCATTGAAGATGGAGTTCTGGACTCTACCCGATTTCTCCCAATGTCGTGGTGGAAAATAACGAGGCCGGCAGATTTTCGCGGCCTCGCACCAACACAAAACAAAGTAGATACAACGCACCAATATTGATGAGTTGCAAAGAAACAAAAGGGTACAGGTGTGTGGACAAAAAAACAATCGGTTCAACGGAAGAGGATTCAAAACAACATCGGCGCAACGCCCTACGGAGGGTACAACACACGCACAAAAAGGGTACAATGTGCCACACAGCGAACCACAAGGCAAAACCCTCGTCATGCCCGGCGTTGAGAAAGTGTGGTCGAGTGTGTGCTTGAGGAGAGAACGGGAGCTACGCAAAAAAATAAACAAGCACGCACACCCTTGTGTAGCAGAACATGGCAAGCCAATCGGTGCATACGGTCTACCTATCTGCATAGCTGCCTGGTGCACCCAAGCGTAAGCAACTCTGAGTGGACAGGCGATACCCTCGCTCTCAACCTGCGATTCACCGTCTCAACATGGCGTTGTTCAAGCGCTTACAGAAAAGCAACCACAATCATGCCCCCATCTCCAGGGAGTCAAGGTACCTGCTGCATATCGAAGGCCGACTCCGCTTTCGCCAGCAGAGCTCCTAGCTCCTCCACGCTCCGGGTCTCGTTAACGACAGCCTTGTTCTGGATACGCTTGGCTGAACAACGCAGAGGTTCCGCATCATCGGCAAAAGCAACAAGGCAAAAGATTCGACGACGGGTACAGCGAGAAGCCAGTGGTTCGACACCAACCAGAAGCAAATACAATCGACGATCCCAGACTGCTCCACAAAACCGCCTCGGCCTTGCTGAATGGAACACTGCTGCTGGCTGGCGAGAGAACAAGAAGGCGGACAGATTCGACACAACGCAACATCACCATCTACAACAACAGTACCAGCACCACCATCAAAACAAGAGCACCAGCACTACCCACCAAATCAGCAGCAAAAACATCAGCAGCAGCAGCAACAACACCATCAACACCACCGTCACCAACAACAACAGCAGCAGCGTGATCGACGGACCCACCTCGGCTACCGAAGCGCAGCGTGGACAACGTCTCGGCCTCATTGAAGCTGCTGGGGCTGCAGTTGACGATCAGGCACGTCTTACTGTTTCCCCCCAAGGAGTTCTTCAAAACAGGAGAGGCGGGCAGCAGAGAGTGGCGACAGGTGAAGGTGGCGTTGTCCGAGTTTATGTAGGGCATGTGAGGGGGACCTCAATGACACCGTGAACTAAAGTGTCGTGGTCCGAACTTATCTACGGCATGTGACGGGACCTCAATGACGCCGTGGACTTGGATACCTAACGCTGCTACTTGGCATGTGCTTCTTGTTTGTGCCAGGGTGACCGATGCCCGTTAGATGATAGGGATGCTGAAGGATATTCGACGGGATGCACGACCATTGGTGTCCACGCACCGGGTGAAACACGACATTAGAACGGCGTAAATATATCATGACGCCCACAAAACCAGCAGACCACACTGCCACACCGTCACACCGCAACAAAAAAACGGCGACAACAACAACACCAAAGGGCGCAACTTGCGTGATGAGGGTTGAGTCAGTCACTCAGGGTAAACCCCGCCTTGATGATACTTGCGTGACGCGTCATGCCACACGAACATCATGAGACCTTTCGCCATCAACCAGGAAATGCACGCAACGTAAAGGGGCATAGTATGAGTTGCGCTCTCCACATATATGTACCTCCACCTCCATCTCTGGTGGTGATACTTTTGCTTGGCTTTTCCTTCTCCCACAAGCTCGCACCGGCAGCCAACAACGACTACGGCCACGTTCCTCGTCGCCATGACCACCGTCATCGAGCAAAAAACATCAGAGGAGGAGGTATTGCATCATACCGGCAGGAGGTATCGTATGACACCCACGGAGGTGTCACATCATCACATCACACCCGCAGGAGATACATCAACACATCATCACATAGTACCTGCAACACCCTGGTGAGCTTCGAGTCCCGGTAGGGCACGTGCGGCTTCTTCTCATCCGTGAGAGCGTTGATCACCTGGCCCAGCGCCGAGAGCGACTTGTTTATCGTCTTCGCCTCGTTCAGCACCTGCAGCCAGGCAAGTATGGAAACGAAAACGGACACACGGGGTCACGGGTAAAAAAATGTACGCTTGCGCATGCCTGCAAATATGGAACGGTCGAGAAAGAGACTCCACAGCAAGAAAGGGCTAAGAATATTTCTACGACTGCTATCGCAGCCGATAGAGTTTCGACGTCCTCACGACGGGGTCCGTGGAAGGAGCCTTCTTGATCATCTCTGGCTCGTTGCGGCCACCTGAAAAAGGGTAGAAAAGAGGGTTTGGTATAGATATATCAAGCGGGAAACCCCCCTTTGCGCCAGACTGGAGCCCAAAGGCGAGGTTGTGCTCACAAGCTTCAATAAAAATATTGTACAGATTTTAATGTCCACGCTAATGTGACGCAGATAGATGGATTCACCTGGCCCGTGGCGTGGGTCTTCTTGACCATCTCCGAGCCTGCGAGGTCCACCAGGAAGAGCATTCCCGTCTTGGTGCTGCTGTCGTTCACGTCTCTCTACAACGCATCAGCCAAGAGGACAACGACAACAACAACAACAACAACAACGGCAACGACGACACATACAGGCACATCAGATTGACGTCCCTTGGAACGCTGTGCGGGGCGAGGGGGTTGTCAAGCCGCAGAGGGTGAAAAAAACCCGAGAGTTTGCTGTGGGTCATATCTCACTTGAGCGCAATACAATACAATACAGTACAGTACATTGACGACGCTTCGCCACCACCGACAACAACACTTACAAGAGCAAGAACAAGAACAAGAACAAGAACGAGAACGAGAACGAGAACGAGAACGAGAACGAGAACAAGAACGAGAACGAGAACAACACCATCACCCGCACGAACAAACACAATTAACAACAACAATAACAACAACAACACGTTGTAATACACACCTGTTGTACGGAGATGATGAAGACGCTGTGAGAGCGACTGGAGCCCTGGTTCATGCCCGTGGCGGCCGTTACTCGGTTCTTAGCGCCCGCGGACATGACCGCGATCAGCTGTTTTTTCGTTGTCGAATCACATTGGAGAAAGGATTTGTTTTGTACGCGTGCGCTTGCCATAATGAAATGAATCGCTGTGACAACTTCGACAAACAAAAACGATCCGCAAAAAAAAGAAACGAGACAAGCGAACACGTGCAAAATTTGGCTCTAGTTTTTTGTTCATGTCTTCGAATGTAAAACCCTTCCGGCTTTGCTCAGTACCTCTAACATGTGCACAGGTCCAGCTGGGGCGGATTCCTTCCGTGGTAACAGGCTAACTACATGAAATTTCAATGGCGCATTTGGAATGACGGCCTTTCGCTACAGCATCAACACATACACACATTTTGTGCTTAAAGAGGGCGCCGTGCCCACTAGACTACTCTCGGCTCTTTAACATCCGACAACAACCTCTGTGGTAGGTCCAAAAAACATGTCAACACGGAGGCGTTTGCCCGACCAGTGCACAACAGCAACACGCCCATGAGGCGGTACTGTCACCTTTCGGCTGTACTATACTCTGGGTTCCCTCGTCAAAGATTTCCCGCCAAAAACCGTCAAGCATCCCACCCATTATGTACAAAATATTTTTAACTCCCGCGACTATTAACTCCTCTTGCCGTGTGTGTCCGCGGTTCAGCAGTATATTAGCGCTCCGGTTCTTCGCCACATACCGGTGGTCATCACAGCGATCGGCCGTCGACCTCAAGCCTTACAGCATCACGAACACGGTGGTACTTGTACTGTCCCGTTTCATCTCGACTATTATATAAAAATCTCAGTACTACAAAAACCTCACCTCGTCAGCGCTGGTGACGTACTCCTCGGTGGCCCCCGCAACGTAGACGCCTCTTTGCTTGTCTTCTCGCACCGGAAGGTTCATCTGAGAGACAACAACAACACGCACCAAGACAAAAAAAAGGGTAAGCAGGGCAGCCGTGTGTTCCATTGATCCAAGTGAAGTGCAGGGCAGTGGCCCTGATCGTCCAAACATCGTGTGTACGGGACACTTGTCCATGAACCAACCCTGGCCGCCAAGTACTGCCAAGGTGTCCGAGGGTGGCGACGTCACTTCAAACCGCCGGAGCTCCCGACATGCATTTGGTCGTTATATCGTCAGGCGTCGGGGCATCATGATGTCGGGGAAGGATCAGCTATGTTTTCCCGCCACCACACATGAGAGGGATCCCCACACCATGTACAAAATTGTATTGTATGAAGGTGAGAGGGAAACAGCGACAACGACGACGGTGGCAACGAGCAGCGACAGCGACATCAGCGTTACCGATAATGCCAACTATCCTGGAGGCCACGCACAGCTACCGCCCAAAGTATCGTGCCAAAGATGATGCGCACAAGTATCTCGAAACCAGTGCATACTTGTACCAGACCCAAACGCACCTTGGTGTGGTAGGAATCGAGCAGATCTCGAATCTTCTCCATGTAGATCTCGATGTACGAAACCTGTTGTTGGTAATATAACAGGATGGGTGTGTGGGGTGAGGTACCATATCCCACAAAAACACCCCCGGTGACAACATTTTTCGTGCTTGAAAGTATTATCAGCGGGGGTATCTCATGACCCACCAAAATACTGTCTGCTGACGGCAAAAGTACCTTCCAAGCCCGGTAATATGTGTCGGTTTCAAGCCGAACCGGTACTAGATAGCCCGACAGGCGGCGAGAATCAAAAGGAAACGTACAAGTACGCATACCGCCAACATGCTTCGAGCACAATCTCCAGACAACACATACTGACGGTTACACGATGGGCTGATAGCATATTACGACCAAAGCAAACAAAAAACGCCGCTAACCTTGATGACGAACTCCACGCTATCCGGCGCCTCCGCCACCGCGAAGAAGATCTCCCTAACCGTGCGAGGGATCACTCCCGCCAACTCCGCGTCGTGTATAGACGGGCCTTCCATCGTGTGAGTCTTTCCGCTTGACGTCTACAGCAGTACACCAGGCGAAGGAAATCACGAGGAGAAACACAGCCGTGGTCTTTAAGAGGAAAGGTTCAGGTTAAGGGTTTGAGCTCATTTTCGAGGTCCAGACAGGTTCCAAGTGCGCTTCTGATCTGTGTTTTTTTTCAAGTGATGTACGTTTCATGCTTTGTTTGGGGTTATGAGTCCCAAGAGCTTTCGACCCAAGCTCATTGGCAAGCGGTGCCGCACGTTGTCGGCTGGCCCGTAGCCCAAGTTTTCGGGCAAGGCACAAGCACTTGTGTACATGCGACGGGTGACGTCACGCGTGCAAGGATGATCACGACCGATCAAGAGATCTGCGAGACCACCGGCCCAGAACTCGGCCCATTCCATCCCAATAACTTCACGAGCGTTAATGAATAGGGTCCAGAGACGGCATCGTGGTCGTAATTTTTTTCTTCGACTTTCGACTGATAATACTTCAACATCCCTTTCGACTACTGCTGTGGCTCCCATTTGGAACGGGTAGTATTTCAGTGTTTGTAATGTACTTTCTGGAAAAGAGTGCCGTGTATAGCGAGCGGCCCGAAAAGAGCACCTAAGATGACCCAGCCAGCGCTCCGGTAAACCGAGAAGAGGGTAGAGCAATCATCCTCTTACAGACGTTGGGGATATTGTACCATTTAAATGAACGGCCAGACTACTACTGGTCCGATGCTTTCTCCACGCGATCCCATGCAACTTCGGCCCCAAACCCCATTCCCACATATCCGTCATCTGACTGGCTCTTTCACCTGACCGTACGCGAAGATCGTCCCATTGTAACCGTCGAAAAGGTCTGGAGGGCAAACGCGGGTGAACCCCGTCCAAACGAAGCAGTCCGGCCATATCCGTTTTCCAATTCGTTGTGACATCGTTTCGCCGTGAAACCGCCCCCGACCCGCGCCCCATGGCCACCGTCCGATGGGTGTGAAACAACAAGCCGCAGATTCAGTTGCAGCAGGAGGAGAAGCAGCAGCAGCAGCAGCAGCAGCAGCAGCAACAGCAGCAGCAGCAGCAGCAGCAGCAGCAGCAACAGCAACAGCAGCAGCAGCAGCAGCAGCAGCGTTTTGCGGGTGCAACGAAGTTCATCATAGACAGTAGCAGCAGCTGAAGCAGCAAACAGCAACAAGTCACAGTGAAAGTAACCCAACGGCACCTAACGCCAGAAACATCACCAATAAACAACAGCAACAGGAGCATCACCGGCAGCAGAAGCAGCAGCGCAGAGGTAACCCTATGGAAACTAAACGAGAAACGGGGCACTATTGTAGCAGTGGTGACAACGATAGACAGGGTCGAGCCACGCACCGCTGACGAGAGGCTTGGCAACGTAGTCGAAAACCTGTTGTTGTGTCGCTGAAGGGTCGAAAACACGGTCGTACGTCTTCTTGGAGTCCTTGAGTTCGATGGTCTCCTGGTCTCCGAACAACACACGAGAGATGACGGGGACCACGCGCACACCAACACAGGGACGACAAGACAGACAGACAGAGACAGGCAGACAAACAGACAGGCAGCGGCAGAGATAGAGGGAGAGCAAAAATACAGGGAGTGGTTGAGAGTAAAGAGGATAATGAGGACGGAGACGGGTGCCGAAGTAGACAAATGGTGCAAGCAAAAAAGCTGTGACTCCATAAAACACGTACACTTGCAATCCATAGATCCCAGGCCATTCAGTACCCGACACTTGAGCGGTTTGGATCTACCGTTGATTGCGAAACAACAAAGTTGCGCTAATGTGCTCCCTGGATTTGAATGCAATCATACTATGTAACGATTTTGATGGCAGGTTCATGGATGGTCATTTCTTGAGTCTTCCTGGCGCCGCGCTGCACCGTTACACCCCGAACGCAATCTAGTAGAGTGTAGTTGTGTCTCTGCGGGCCAACTTTTGCACCCTACTTTCAATCGCCGCAGTGCGGATCCCTCATTCCACCAGAGATTATCTCCTTCTATGGTCCTTCATCTCTATCATAGCGCAGGGGGGTATGAGCTGCATTGGGGCGCTCGATCGAAGCGACACATTGGCGTGAAAGTTGTCTCCCGAGAGCTTAAAAAGTCGCGTCAGCTGGACACCAACGCCTTCTGTAACGGTGAGCCGATTAATTGGGACAAGCAAGAGGCCATGACCCCGCCGGGCTCAGTAAACTGGGCAGGGGTTGAACAACAAGTACTCCCGTTGACATCAACGGCGTGAACTGCTCTTGTCTTCTAACGTTTGTCTTGTACCCCGTAGCTTCATTTAGAAAATTTCTTCAAGGAGCATCAACGAGAGACTGCCCGTTCAACAAAAAAAGAAAAAAGCGTTCGAAGGCGTGTGTTGAAGTCTTCACAGCAGCCAGGCGCACGTGCCTGCTGGATGATGATACTGCTGGAGCTTTTGTTGATGAAGCATGCAGGCACCTATATGTGCCGGCGTCAAGCACAACATGACGCCCTTCGTCTGTCTGTCGATGGCTACTGCTGGTTCTTCAATCCGAGTTCGCACGCTCTCTTTAGGCTGGTGAGCACAGCGAAGGCGCTCAACTCTCATCATATCAAATCCAACACAGCACGACGTGAAGCAATAGCAACGCCTGTAGGGATGAGATTCCGCTCCTTGCTGCCAAGTGTTCCTTCCACCTTTCGCAACGCACTCTCAGGTACCACACACTCATCTCCTAAGCGCGAGAGGAAAAGGCGTGTGGTCATTGTCAAACCCGCCTCCGCGTTTTTTGGCTCCTATTCTAACTGCAGGATTGACCCAGGGTTCAAGGCAGCACACCGGGTGATGGCTAGACTCACACGTCAATCTGTGAGCCTCTGGGCATGTGCATACCGGCAGCGGACCTCTGTGCCCCAGAGTACTTTCCTTTTAGTCCACCCCATGTTCCATCTAAAGTACAAGATAGACCTTCGTCGCTACTCTGTACAAAAAAAAAAAAAATGGGCCGTTCATTGTAAGGAATAATAAAAACACACACAGAAAGACTACCCATTCGAGATATACCCACAGTCGAACGGGATGTGGTGGAGTCTTTTCAGTGAGTGGACGGAAACCGGCTGGGTACTGGACTTATTTCGAGTCTTTTTAAGTCAATACACTGATGATTTATACCAGTGATGCCAGCTGGTGCTAAGTACAAAAACATCTGTATTCATTTTTCTCTGCTGTTACGGCTGTTACGCTGTTATGGATACCTACAGCAGTATGCTACATACCTACGCCAGGCGGTTTCATGTTGCGGAGGCGCGTGCGTAAAAAGAGGCGCCCGCTGTACCAGCACACCCAGTGCGATGACGAGGCTCCAAAAGTTGCAGCGTAGACACGACTATAATAGTAATCATCATCATCAGCGGGAAAACAAACATTTTGAAACGTCACGACGGGCGCCATCGGCTACATGGCAGGCCAGAGTATCACATCATGTAGATAAAACCGTCATCATCGGAGTGTCCCGCCACACTTGCGCTCTCAACGAAAAAACGATGCCCCGACAACATCGCACCTCGCTGGGAAACGTGACGCACACCGTACCGCCGGCTTCGATCTCCTTCTTGTTCTGCGGCCGGACTCGAACCACCACGCGAACGGCGCTGTTGGTTCTGTCTCCCCCGCCCCCACTTCCTCCAGCTCCCGCGAACCCGCCAGCCCCGATACCATTGGGCGTCTTTCGCTCGCTGTCGGTAACAGCGCTCGACTCGGAGCCTGCCACGGAGGCAACGGGCGACCTTCTCCCCGACGGCGTGCGTGCTCTCGTTGGTGTGGGCTGCGTCGCCATTTTGTGTGATCAACGCCAGCTGCTGGTGGGATGGTGGTTAATCAGCGTGTACTCTTTGGTGTACTCTCTCTTCTTTTTCAAAAGAGAGACGTGCTGCAGCTGCTGCTGCTGCTGCTGCTGCTGCTGCTGCTGCTGCGGGGGAGTGTGGTGTGTTGTGACGTGTGACGGGTGTGTGGGTGTTACCCCCGTCCCGATCAGATGAGACGATCCTTCGAGGATGATCTCACCACCCGACCGCACACAACTCTCCGCACACACACCCTCCCGGCTGATCACACGCAACGGGCGACTCTGTCTGCCAAGCCAAGCCTCTGCTGCTGGGCTACGTTATTTTCATCTCTCAGACGGGGGCTCCGCGTATGAGGCGAACCACACGTCGGGGTGCGGAAAAAAAAAAGTTCCGAGACAGACAGTTGTACCTGGGTCCGCGCGTGCTGCTTGCTTGGTCGTCCCGTTCGCTAGGATGCCATCGTCTCCGTCGCGGTTGTGGTTGTTGGCGGTGATCTTGTCGTTGCTTCTACACAATAAAATACATGTTGACGTCGATCCCGTAACGAGTGCTCGGCTGATCACAAGCCCCGCAAGCAACTTCATCATAATTGTTGGAAGAACCAATTATTCAAATGCATCCGTTGTGTGCCGGCCGCCTTTGGTATCGTTGGTTCTCCTCTCAACAACTGCCATGTGTTTTGTGCTCGTCACGACCCCGCCCATACTCTGCTGTGCCGATGAGGAACAACGAATCTCTTGCAGATGGAATACTGCAGAACGACACACATCCCGACGTGCTATATTCAGTACATGGTTGATGGCGCGTGAGCCTCGTCGAACGTGCGGATGATGATGATGACGAGATGATGACGGTTCTCCCATGCGGGGGGGCAAAAGAGGTTTTTGTCTCAAAGTAAGGAGAGGTTTCTCCCGAAGTACTTTGCCCTCGGCTCGCTATACTAGTTTTAGATTGGGTGGGGGCATATTTCTCGTATCCGAAGCACGTTCAACTTGCACCGTTTTTTTGCTCTCAAGTCCTCGAAACTCTACTTCTACGACGAATTGACTTTTCACGTATTATAGTAGTCTAGAGACTGAAAGGGTGGCCTTGCTTGCTGTATGTAGTGCACGGGAACATTTATTTTAGACATGTATGGACCCAAGAGGTGAAAGGCGTGCGCAAGGAACCGACAGATAGATCGACTGCCCGACGAAGTTGGAAGATCGCACATGTTTGTCACTAAATGGCAAGGACCAGATCGCATCTTCCTCTAGAGTCTATACAGCAGTATGGCGTCCAGTTCTTTTTGCCCACCCTAGGTGGACGTTCGGTGGTGCTCCTCAGTGGAACGTTTGTTCGCAACAGTGGCTCAGACGTGCAACACCCTCGTTATTTCGAACGGTTTACAGTAGGAGTTGACCTGCTGTAAAGGTCGTGGGGAGATCGTTTTCTACAGGTTCGCTCCGAGTGAGCAAAAGAGGCGTAAATACTATACAGAACGCGCCACTTAGACTAGGAGTTAAGAACTTGAGCCTCAAACAATCCAAAATAAAAGAACTTGGTCATAAGAACATGCTCAGTTCCGACGTGAACCCGCCCTCATGGTGTACCAATGCGCACACAGATAAGAACGGGGCCCCAAAACCCGGCGGCTGCAAGATAAGAACTCAGGGAGGTTGGGGGTGACCCAAACAGCAGTTTGATTCAGATTCGAGGCGAGGGGGAGCAGAAAACCTCGTGATAAAATGATCGTACGCCTGACGCGCGGAGGGGGAGGGCGTACTCTCTCTCATGTTTCGCATGCCTTAGAGGTTGGGACTATTGACCACACGTCCTCGAGACGACGCATAATTGTGCCCACAGGACCGATCACCGATGGCCAATCATTCCTCCCTACAATGCACTTCGAAGTACTTGCCGAAGGTGGCTCAATATCTACCTATCTCGGCCACTTCCCGCCTTTCAACCCACTTGCTATGCCCCAGCACAGCTACCGTCTTCTCCTGGCTATTCCATGCCTCAAGCATATCCCTGTGTCTTTCAGTCTATGGGTCCAACTCAGTCATGTACATTTCTCTACCCTTGTCGCCCAACACGGACGTTTCGCAACGACATGAACCCGGTCTTCGCACTCGGAGCCGCATGCACATTTGAACTTGTCGCCTCCATTGTCTTCCTTCCCGAATCTTCGTCAACTTTCTCAAAGGCCGTTGTCCCCAGTCCTAATTTAGGTATATATTCCTTTTTTCAACGTCCGTACACATCTAGACCCTCCTTATCCTTGGATCCTTTTGTTTGATCGTGTTCTCTCTCAGCAAAAGTAGCACGATTTCTTGTTCTCGAACCCCTATAGACCTACTGTTCGTTTCCAATTTATTATCAACTTTATCGATGTTGAACTATTCCATACGTCATCTACAACCTTATCCACTCCCTGGGTTGTTACCCCTATTTTTGTTTGTCCTCTTCGTCTCCCGAGCTTCTCTCGGCAACCTCTCCTCTCCCATATCGTACACCATACGGTACTTTTTGCCATTTAGCTTCCTTACGCCTCTTCCCGATCGTAGGAGTTGGATCCGAAGGGGGGGCGTACTCTCTCTCTCCCTCTCATGTTTTGGATGCCTTAGCGGTTAGACCATTAAACACGCGTCCTCGACAGGACGCAGCATTGTTCCCACAGGACCGATCACCGATGGTCAATCGTTCGATCCTACTTTGCCAAAGGGGTGGCTCAAAAATGTTGTCCTTCGTCTATCTATCCTATCGATATCAGTTCCCGCCTTCTCAACCCATTTCCTATGCCCCAGTACAGCAACCGGTTTCTTCTGACTTTCCCGTCCGTGTCTCAAACATGTCTCGTACCTTTTCCTTGTACTTTTCCCAGCTCACTCATGTGCGTTTCCCTCTCCTTCTTGTACAACGGACATTTCGCAACTACATGAACATGGTCTTCGCACTCGGAGCCGCATTCGCGTGTAGATTTGTCGTCTTCATTGTCTACGTTCCCAAATCTTCGTCTACGTTCTTGAAGGCCAATGTCCCCAGTCCTAAGTTTGACTTTCAGCTTTGTCCCTACATCCATTGGTCCATGAAGAAGGTGCCCCGTAAATCTATTCCTTCTTTAAATATTCCGTACACATGTAGACCCTCCTTATCCTTGGTTTCTTTGGTTAGGTTACGTTCTTCTCTCTCGGCAAACGCAACATATATCTTCTCCTTGAACCCTCTAGACCTTGCGTTTCCAGAGTATCGACTGCGTCAATTTCGAACCCTTTCATGCGTCATCTACAACATTAACCCACTCCGTAGATTGGTACACCCATTCTTCTTGTTTGCCCACTCCGCCTCCTAAGCTGTCTCGACAACCTGTCCTCTCCCATGCCGCACATACATACATACATGCGGTACTGCCGTCTAGGGGGGGATGATACGACAATATTGTACACTTGCATCAAAAGTGTCTCGTGATGAATCTACCCAGAAAGACCTGTGTCCTCTGCATAGGGCAATCGGTATACATAGAAATAAGAACAAGAACCCCGTTTATCATAGGTGGATGCCTGCTCCAAATAAGAACTTGGCTAATAAGAACATGTGCTCGGTTGGAAGCAACCAATAAGAGTCGAGCCTCAAGCTAAATAAGCGGTTCTTAAGTGGTGGCGCGTTCTGTACCCCTCGTCGGCCACGACAAACAATGTTTCGCGTCGGGTTTGTTGCACTAGCCCCCGGGGGGGGGGGGGTTGACCAGCGAAAGGATATCAGTGAAGGACCCTCAATAACGCCGTTCGATGGTATAGCTACATCGACGGGCGCTATCCAGAAGGACCGCAGAAGGACCGGCGCTATTCAATGTACATATTTCTTGGCGATTCAGTCGATGTCCGGCAATTTCACGGGCGCTACACAGGGCCACCGGCGCTATTCCACCGACGTTATTGACGCCCCCCCACTGTAGTTACGGCACTTGCTTCTTGAGGTACTCAGGTAACATTGACACCCACAGCCTAACAAGCCTAATGGCAGCGTGCCTTCAGGTAGAAGCGAAACGGTGTAGCTCGGCCTGCACAGAAGCGTCCCGCCGGACCAGGTGTTGCACGAGCCACCGCTGACCCACTACGCAACGCCCCCCCCCGCGTCTCGCTCAAACTAAAGGTAGAGACCCGGGTAGTCACTGCAACTGGCTCCTTCCAGCCCGACTACCACGAACAAGCCCGGTGTTTCAGTCTGCCTGGGTCCTCCACCCACCGAGAGATTCGGCGAGCCGGTCGCGTCCGCTCGCTCGCCGTGAAAATACCCTCAACTAGCCCTGACGGTCCCCGGAAACGCGGACCCGCTCAGCTTTCAAAGTGGCTACGACCGAACGCGAGGGGATCCTTACGCCTCCGTCCCGCGTACGGCTTAGGAAGGCTAAGACCGCTCTCTTCGCTTGTTCCCCGTCGTCGAAGTTCGGTTCGTCTGCCACCCGTCAAGCGGCGTAGAACTTAGTCGGAAAAGTCGTGCATTCTCGCTTGCTGACACCAATACTGTACGAGCACCATCTTCGTCTCGCCCGGTACTTTCCCCGACCACCAGCAACCGCCTACCGATTCCGGTGCCGGCGCCCCCGGGGGTGGCAGCGGCAGGCGCAGGGGCAGGGGCAGCTGCAACGGCAGCGGCAGTGGTGCCATGGTCCTCATTCAAGCCTATGATCTCGTGTCCTCCCCCCGCCCCGTTCCCTGCGGCGCTGGAGAGGTACCGGTCGTTCCCTTGCTGGAGAAACCTTGCTACCTCGCTCTCCGCCATGGGCGCGAAGCGATTTCGAGGGTTGTGGGGCACCCGATTCACCAAAGACGGGCTATGCCCACCGGTGCCATTCAAGCGCCCAGCCGCTTCGGTAACGGCCTCGAGATCAAGGATTCCTCCCGCGGTTGCTACCCCTGATTCCCGTCGATTGCTACCCTTGCGCCCCTCGCCGTTGACGTTCGGGCTCAAACACGATACCGTAACAGCTGCTACTCTGCCACCGACACCACCAACAACACCAACAACACCACCAGTGACATATGATCCGAACGGTTCTTGTTCCAGGAACCTGTTGCCTCTACACTCACTACTGCTGACACGTTGTGACGGCGTCGACGGGTTCGTCCTGTAGCCGCCCCCCACGAAGGCCCGTCCCGACTTGGCTCGTGGTGGAGGAGGAAACGTAGGTTTGCGTGATCGAATACGGGAGACTAGCTTGACCTATGCATACCATGATCCGAACGAACCAGTAGGGGACCACGCGGGAGCAGAGGAGGGGGAGATAGGCACCGATGATGGACGCGAGCAAAATATCGGCTACATGGTTCGGTTCTGAAGTTGAGTTCACCCCTACAGCTGATGCGACGTGAGGCACCAAACCCCGGTATTGCTTTAGGCTTGCGCTTGTTAAGAGACCTCCATCGCCGTCAAAATCTTCTCTGCCTGGGACGGCTGGTTGATACTCTTGGCGTGTGGTAAGTACGTAGTGGCAGAGCTCCATTTTCGTGAACTGATACCAACTGTTCCCAGCTTGATGGCCACACACACCGGCTGCTTGGTCGGCAGACCGTCTGGCTTGACATCTACAATGGACCCTCCACCCACCCCCCGTGACCACGAAGGATTTGGAATGCACACACTTCGTCAGCAATACATGAGTAGGCGCAGAAGGACGACATCAGCAGCAGGGGCGAACTGGTGTGTGTGTGTTTCCGACGCCGGAAATGTACTGTATGCCGCACGACATACCTGATGCGGATCCTCTTCCACCTCCAGAGCCGGCGGCCGCTTGATACTCAAGGGCTTGGCCACCGCAAGCGCCACAGAGCTGGACGTTCGGAGCAACTTCTCCACCATGTTTGTAATAGCCTCGTCTCCTTTTTTCGCTTCCTCGGCTTGTGACGTTTTCTCGCTCGCTGCCGGTGCTCTTGTGTACCCACCTGCCGTGGTTCCCTCCGCTTCCGCCCCCGCGGCCGCCGGGTTCGTGCTCCCCGCCAACCCTACCACGCCTCTACCACGGGCCTCTTCCACCCCTCCCGCGCTCGCCGTTTCACGCTCAAACTGCTGTGTTGTTGTTCGGTCCGTCTCCGCCTTACTGTCACGAACAAGAAGAGGTTGGAGCAATTGCACCGTCGCTTCGGCTGAGCCCCCTCTCACCGCTAGCCCTCCTTGCACTCCCGCTCCCCCGTCGCCCCCCGGAGCCGGGGCCACCTCTGGCCCTTCCTCCTCCTCGCAATTCCCGAAGTTCTTACCCCCGTACTCAGGCGAGGGTTGGGTGTATCCATTGACGGCATGCTCCACCGAAAGCTGGTGTAGAGCGTGCGCCAGTTCTTGGTCGGCCCCACTACATGTCGCGTTCTCGCGCTCGAAGGACGTTCCGGGAGCTGACAGAGACTTGGACGTCTCGGTGCGAATGGTTCTCAGCACCTCTTTTTCCCACCGACGCATCTTCCGAGTATGAGCGTTGGGTTGGAGGGGGAACGGCAGAGGGTTTCCCTGTGTGGTTAGTTCGTCATCGTCACATGAACAATCGTCTGCTAATGATGGCGGAAGGCACTACTGTTGCTTAGGTCACCCATACTTGCTCCACACCAGCATGGACCTCCGGCCCGCCTACTATGCCGAAAAAAACATTTATCTACTGGTCCATGCCGTTGATAAATGTTGAGCATACAGTTGTTTTGCTCTTTTATTCGTGCCCCTTGTTGGTGTTCTCGGCAACTACTATTTTTAGGTTGCCGTGGGTTGACTGAAATCTTCCCGCTATTGTTTCTCCTCGGTGTACGTTCTGAGGGTGGGCAAGGGAAAGGGTTCAGCGTACACAAGAAAAACAAAGCAAATCTCTGACACGAGAGGCACAGGGTCGTCTAACTTTAACAACTTTTGATCCTGAGATGACTCTGTAAAATTCCACCGGCTGTTGGTGTGTGTTGACTTCACGTTTAACGGCGTGCGTTGTGGAGAGTTTTTCTGACGTGGAACACACACAAACGCATGATATGTTTGATTGAATAATCCGTTGCTGCCTTCGTCCAACACCGGCCCCCTCACCCGTGCAGAGTCCCCGTTCGCCTTGAGCTCAGCCTGTCGAACCGCTCGCCAGGCGCGGGCCATCTCCTGTTTCTCCCGTCGCAACTCTTCGAATTCCGGGGCACAAGACGTTCTGCGCAAGGAAACGAGTGCGAAGAAACGGGCATCAACAGATGGATATTAAAGATCAACGTTAGGGCAGAAGGCTCGGGTCACGGGCAGTAACATATTTCGACTTACCAACGCCCAAACCATCGGACCTTATTGTTGCTGCGTGAGCAAGGCTTGTTCACAGCACTGTCCTCTATGCGAGACTCTTTCTCGAACAGCCAGCGCGAGGACAACTCCCTTGAAGACAGGTACACGGGCCAACCATTGCCTCGTCGCTCACATGTCGCTCCCAATACCGTCGGACAGATCGGTGCCGTACGCGAGGCGCATCCTTAACCGCCTCTGCTTGACCGCTACGCTCTTAGTCTTGACGGCCTGGACCTGATACCGCCGCCACTCCCGCCGGTCCTGCTCTAGGCCCGCCAGGTAGTCCTCCTGCACTTGCACTCTCGCGCGCATGTTTTCCTGCGATAGTGTCCAAGTGGCAACCCGTTGTTGTTCTCGTTGTTGGTATTGTTGTTGTTGTTGTTGTCATTGTCTTTGTCGTTGCTGCCGTTAATGTTGCTGCAACAAGCCTGGACAATTCATGCGACAACACGTTATGCCATGCATGGAACCATGTACGGCTGGGGTGGCTACTGCTGTTGAACTTTCTTGTACTTTCGTTTCGCCTTTGTTCCGTGAGGAACTGTAGTCTACGCCATGAATATTGCGAGGCCTGTCGCCCACTCTCGGGGAATAAATACCCCCGCTTGGCGTTTCCTCATACAACATTGGTGTTGGAAAGGAGAAACGCACAGCGCGGCGAAAAGGGACAGGGCATTTTATTTGCTGCTGGTCATCGGTTTCAAGCACCTTTACCACGGTGCACGTATACCACGGGTGTACTTCGCTTACGAAGCCCTCGTTGAGTTTTGCTTGAGTGAGCCAAGTCGCAAGAACTGCTGCAGAGGTGTACCTCCGGGACAGCCGATCGCGCCTAGCGAAAACTCTGCACTGGGTACACGGTGGTCCGAAAATAGAAGCTGCCATACGCAACACTCGACACACTCAGCACAGCCCATACCTGGATCACGCGCCGCCTTCTAGCCGGACCACAGTCGGCTCTCTCGTGTGGCTTCTCCACACGATGGCCCGCATCGAACGTGTGTACCTCGTCCGCTTTCACGAGTAGGAACGGTTCGCGTGGGCGAAAACGCTCGGGGACGATAGGCCTTCCGTCCGGTCCGATCCCGTTCAGGCCACCTTCGATCTTGTGGGGGTTGTCCCATGGTTGCGAGCGTGAAGGCACCCGCATGCTATGGACAGAGTGGAAGAGATGGAGGGGGGGGGGCGTACTCATTTGTTGCTTGCCGTAGTCATTTGACCATTGACCACGCGTCCCTTTCGAGACGGAGCACCGTTCCTACACCTACTAGAGACACCACCAACATTTGGGAGCTCTTTACGTTTCTGCCACAAACTCCATAAAAAATTCTTGCACATCTTATCCCCGTCCTCTAGGGCCTCTTGTGCCCACCATCTATCCCCAATTATCGCGATCGTTTTTTCGCTGTTGTCTAATTTACCAAACTTGTCCATGTCACACCCTCTCTGTCTCATTTCCTCCTCGAGATCCTCTCTTTCCTTCCTGTACAACTCACACTCCCCAACTATGTGGGGTCTACTCTCCTCCGATTTGCCACATGGACATGTGTGTCTATCCTCCTCTTCCTCTCTCCTACGGCTGGTATACCTCTTCCTCCGTTCTGGCAAGTCCAGATCGCCTACTCGAAATTGCAATTTCAGCTTTTTCGCATAGTCCATGGGGCCGTCCAAGTACTTCTTCATCCCTATCCCTTCTTTCAACTTCCCGTATATCTCCAAGTGGTCTTCGCTTCGTACCTTCTTCCGAAGGGTTGTCTCCTCCCTACTCTCTAGCATCTCCTTGACTTTCGTCTTGAACCCCCCGAACCCTTCCGTGTCCAACGTCTCCTCCTCGTCTCCTATCTCCTTCCAAACCTTCTCTACCACCTTGTCCCATCTGATTCCCTTCTTCCCTGGAGTCGCTTTTACCCAAGCTGCCTCGTCAACCATGGCTGGTAGTCTATCGTCCGACATTCTACTTACCTTGTACTGCCACTTCAACTTCTGCATGTCTCTCTTTGTTTTAAGAGAGTACATTCCCAATTCTGCTCTCAATACAGTGTTGCTCGTTGTACTTGAACATCCTAGTATTTTCTTGGCCGCTGCCATCTGCACCGTTTCCAGCTGCTTGACGGCCTTTTCGTTACCTTCCCATATCTCTCCTGCATACTCTAGCTTAGGTACAATCACCTTCAAGAGAATACACCTCTTAATCCTAGTGTCTAGGTGTGGGTCCGTAAGGATCTCATCCATCTTGCCTATCTGAGCTTTACCCTTCCCAATCAACTTCGCTATGTGTGCGTCCCATGAGCACTCCTTCGAAATCTCTACTCCCAGGTACGTATACTTGTCTACTACCGGTAGTTCTTCCTCCCCCCATTTCCATTTGAATTCTACGGGATTTTTCTTATCTTCGTTACAGACCACTACTGCGCATTTTCCTACGTTCGCCGACAGTCTCCATTTTCGGGTGTATCCTACCGCCGCATCTATTTGTTCTTGCAACCCTTCTGGTGTTTCGGATACCCCCACGAAATCATCTGCAAACATCAGTCCGGAGGGGGGGGGGGGGGTGAGCTTCACGCTCTGCTAGGCCGTCCAGGCGGCGAGCCTGTGAGCTTCACGGTGTCTTAGGCCGTCGACCTACTGATAGAACCAACGACGGCGAACACGACGCGATAACTAACCTTCGTCGGCTTGACGATTCTCCCCATATTGCCAACCGAATCGCACGTTCTAGGGAGTCTCCGCTGTGACCGGCCTCCAGCATTCGTGCCGCCAGAACACGCCGCTGCTCGGTTGACAGCCCCCAGAACAGCTTCGGAAGTTTCGACGGCATCGGCTGCACGGCCGCCGCGAATGGGAGCGGCCACATAGTGATATGTTAAAGTTTGAACGTGAGACGTTCGGGTGTCAGTGCGCGACGCTGCGGGGAGTGCTTCCCGCCCGAAGTTCTGAGACGGCAGGCGTGTGCCGCAGCCTGTTGTTTTTCTTTCGTGCATGAAAATCGTGCCAAAGTACATCCGGTGGTAAAGCCTTGGTATTCGGTTCACTGACATTTTGCAAAGGCGGTAGCCTTCTTGGGCGTAGCCCTTGCAAAATTGAATATCGTTGTCCTTCATACAGTCGTCTGTCTGTGCGTCTGCTGTCTGTGCACAGACAGACGGCCGTGAACACTCGCTTGAACGATCCACACACTACGCGGAATATTGATGAGTTGGTTGGAGATGTTGTGTGGAGACCACCTTCATAAAGGTAGAAACTCCCCAACGTCTGTCGAGGACGATTCCCTCTTTTCACAGTTGCCCATAAATAGATGAAGGTGGTGGCAGATATAAAAGTGCGTATTCAACGATGTGCGCACAACCCTGTCGCCTTTAAAAGCATGTGCTGTTTGCCTGAACCCTCATGTGTGCTACGCAAATAAAGCTACCCATGCACCGTGCTGTGAGCTCCCGTTCTTACGCGTCAGCCGATTTGTTTGGGTGGTGGACGATGTCACGGCTCTAACTATCGAGCTGTATAATACACATCAGTACAGCAGTGGAATAAATCTAGTCTACTACCTACCGTAGAACCCGTCATCGGTGTACAATGCAACCTTACCATTACCGCACCTTGAGGTTTCTCGACGTGTTGATCGCTTGTTTATAGCCTGAGTATCGTTCACCAAGCAGAAAGCCAAAAGGAACCGAGCTATCGATCTTCGCTGTGGATCCGACGCGCTTTCCACCCATCTGTGAGGGCAGTTGCCCCGGCAGAAGCATCGATGAACAGTCGTGGCCGAACGAAGCTTTACCAAGGGTATTTAGACCGTTCCCTTCACAAGAGCGAACCACGCCGCAGGTGTTCGACGTCGAAGAGCGCGAGATATCTGTTCTCGGATGCACAGCAGTCGTCCGGCTATCTTCATGAATAGGCAACTACTCATTCTGCACCCTTGCATGTACTCTCTGCAGTCGGTGTGTGTGGGTTTTGGAGCCGACCCAGTGTACCACATGCCCTCAAGTACACATGCTTTGTACACATATGCGTGTAGTCAAGCCAGCTCCGGCCAAAAACATGTATCAACTCTCAAATTCCGTTTCGGGGTACGCAGGCTACTACATAGGCGTTGTAGCATCTGCGGATCCCCCATCGGTCCGCTTGTGCTGGCGGGCTTGCCAGCTCCCAACGTATATGCTACTGCTGCTTTGTATGTGTCTCTCCCCATGGTTAGAGACGGAGAAACTTGTTAAGGACGAGAGAGGCTAGGTGTGGCACGGCCCATCCGCGAGCCCGACGCAACAGCTGCGACTGCCCAGTGTTGTGAGTGCAGGATTAACACGTGTGTTGTGGGTGCCCTGTTTGGTTCAACCCAAAGTTTGTACGCTTCTCCAGCTGGAGCAGCTGCCGTGCATGTGGCTCTCGGAGAGGACGGCGGCGTTCACCCGGTGCGCCTCTAGCCCCCACGCCCAGCCCTCCTTGCCGCACACGCCGTTGTAGTAGTGATGAATGACACGCAGCGCGATCTCACTTGCAGAGATGCACACCTTTGCCTGTGCGGGGTAGCTCCACTCCCAAGCAACGGCCGTATCATGAGTAGTGTTTGTTTGCTCTATTTGAGAGAGAGCGAGAGCTCGAAGGACTGAACGAAGCTTGGCGGGCGCGGCACTTGAGCTTCCGCCCCTCCACCGAGATCCTGGTGTGCATGGGCTGTTGCGGTCGTGTTGTGAGTGCTATGAGCAGCGCTCCCCCCACCCGCTGTGAGAGTTTATTGGTCTGTGGGATGTGGATGTTCGTACGCGTATGATAAAAATGGATGTTCAATTTTGGGCAAGACGGCAACAACCAGCTTGCTAGCTTGCTGGACAGCACGACGCGGCATGCGCGAACGGACCGTTGCGTGGGTGTTTGTCATTTGTCATTTCGTCATGCATGTGCTGTGTGCCACGCGGGCAAACTACGAAAGGCGTAAAGTGGAGGAGCACGGAGAAGTGCACCCATCGCTTTGTGCATTTCCAGGGTGTGTGTGTGGGTGCTTTGAGGCGTAAGTGTGCCGCTGGCTCCCACGCCCAGGGTGGCATGGAGACATCTGACATCTATCCACTCCTGCCCCGCACGCCGTAGTTTTCAGACTGCAGACGAACAACGCACGTGAATTTCTGACATCCGTGTGTAGACTATATCAGACCATTGAGATTATTTGCACCCATGCTCAATATCAGAGATAGGCGGGCGCTACAACCAGCGGTGTGGCTGTGAAATAATATGTTCTCCTTGGGAGAGCATTTTATTTGTCAACGTGTGGGCATACAGGACCCGCTGATTGTTGTCATGTTTCCATTCTGACCACAGGCGATTGTTTCCTTTAGACAATCGAAGTTTCCTCACGGCAAGTGCATAGAGATTCCGTCCTTCCCAGCCAACCATGCCACAAGCTACCGCGCTCGTTGCTGTTGATTGTCGTCTGTTCCGCTCTCCTTCTAACATCGGGGTCCAACTGACGTGGACACTCCCGTGGCCTGAGGCCAAATGTAGTCGTAGTACAATACAGCAGTATACCTAAATAGAAAGGTTCTTGCTCGCTTCAAGAGCGGAAGGGAACAATCGAAAAGCGTGATCGGTCGAAAGGTTCCACGTCCTGCCCGCCCCTTTTGGAAGATTTACCCTCTGCTGTACTCTGTGAAACCATTAGACAAAAACACTGTGCTGTGATGCCGTTTGTTTCTTTTCTACAGCAATGGTGGGTGGCAATGAGTACCTGCCTGTTTGGTTTCAGCGCGGCTTGATGAGGACCATTACACCACTTTATACAAGTACTTTGTTAAGAAACAAGGGGCTCAATATGTAAACGAAAGAGAGGAAGCTTTAAGAAACATACATAACTCAGCGGCGTAGAGGGTGGCAATGTGAGTACCGGCCTGTTTGGTTTCAGCGCGGCTTGATGAGGACCATTACACCACTTTACATTAGAAGTACTTTGTTAAGAAACAAGGGGCTCAAAATTTACACGAATGAGAAGAAAGGAATTGTAAAAAACATACATAACTCAGCGGCGGATCCTTAACGAAAGCCTACTTTTGAAGTAAATAACAGCCTGTACTCGACATTGGCGAAGACATAAGAAGATAACCAGTCGAGCCTCGACCCGATTTTAACGGTTCATATCTCCTGGCTCGTTCTGTACATGGGGGTCAGCACTACGGCGCGATCAGAATGGACTTGCGATGGTGGACCCGAACAGACTCAAATCAACTCATGGTCCCAATCCTCATTATTTGATGATGGCTTTCGTTGTCCCAAATCATCTACAGAATGTGTATTTTTTCCTACTATAATAGATGAATCTGAATCCTTGTGGAAGCACACGAGCAGAACTTTTTGCCGATGTTTCGTATTCAAAGAGATTTATATTGTACCGCTCAGGAGTCAGCGGCTGAAAGGCCTTACTGTCATCCGTTGATCGAAAGGGTTGGTAGAACTAGGGGATGGCCCCCCGTAAGGATTGGTGGAGCAGAACAACCGACCGAGTGCTCCTCGTGGGACAAGTACTAAACATGTTCTCTCCCTCTTGGGTCGTGGTTCCATTATTTTGCGCGGAATTACTTGGTCAATATACACTTAAGTATATGCAGATTGTAGGTTGTTGGGCCTGCCACTATAATGGTGCTGTATTCGCCACAGTGGTTGCTCTATTAAGGCGCTGTTGTATTCAAGTGGACGGTCCATTTTCAACCGCTCCTTTTGGTGTGTGCTCACCAGCAGCTTTCTGCACGCCTTTGCTCGGCATTAGAGGGTCCGCTTCAAGAATGCCCCCGGGCGATCTGCGATATTGCGTCCCGATATATCTTGGCAAAGGGCATCTACAGCAGTACCTAAACCGGCCTCGGTGTTGGCGTTAGAACAAAGGTACAGAGGGAAGCCTCGGCTACACCGGGTTTTGGCCCTCTCTAATTATATAAACACAAATATTATGTTCCCATGCAACTATGGCCTTTGCTGGCGCCCTCTTGTTCGACGACTACGTGCCTATGAGCCCCTTGTCACACAACGCTGCCATATGTATTCAGCGGTACAGTACTGCTGTAAGTGTTGTTGGCCGTCAAGTCTGGCACAAGCGTGCAGAGAGCGTCCGAACGTTTGGCGAGGTCCGTCTCTACCTCTTTCTATCTCGGATAAGATTATGAGAGCATTGCTTCCTCTCGAACAGGGTGCGCCGTGAACACCCCAATGTGGTGAGCAATAAATGACGCCCCCCCCCCACCGTCCCCACCCACGCACGTACCCATCTCCCGTGCCCGGTCCCTTGCTCTCCTCCTACGGTGGTACACACAGGTGGGGGCCTGGGGAAGCCGGAAACGCTCAAATAGTGTGCGGAAACAGGGGACCGCCCGCACCGTACCGGTGGTTTCGTCGCGGTTTTGTATTTGCTGGTCGACAACTACCGTTCCCTGGGCATCCGGGCTTTTTTATTGCATTTGCGTGTACCTGTGGTTTGCCGGCGCACCAGCAGACGGCGGCGAGCGAGTGACACAGCGGGGACAAGCGAGGAAGCCGTTCAAGAACGACAACAATCCACCGGAAAAACGGCGGCGGCAGTACCCGCCCAGAGCGCTTGTTCTGCGGGTTGAGTGGAAATTGGACGGCGGCGTTTTGGCGTGTTGTTGATGGCACAGCCGACACCAGCGTTGGTAGAACAGCCTGTGCTTGGCGATGGATCATCCCCGACAGCAATAGTAGCAGCAGCGGTGGCGACTACGGCGATTACACCATGTACGCCTAGCGGCGGCGGCGGCGGCGGCACGACTCCCTCCTATATCGGGTCTCCTCCGACAAGACCGGCAAGTTGTCCCGCCGCTGATGTGCTCCCTCCTTTGAGGGCGGCAGTGACGACGATGGACGACAGCGCGTGCGGCGGAGAATCGGGCGGCTGTGCCGCCAGCGACCAGGACTTCACGAAGCCCCACGGCGGTTCCGCCGCAACCGAAAATACCTCTAGCTGCAGCGGCAGCAGCAGAAGCAGCCGCTGCAACAGCTGCAGCCGGGGCGCATCCGAGGAAGAGAAAATCGTCGTCGAAGACTTTGATTCCGCCCCCTTTGCTGCTGCTGAGAAGGAGAAAGAAGGTGAAGGCATGGAAGGAAGCGGTTTGGACAGTGAGGTTTCGGAAACTGATGCGGGTATCGGGTTGATGGCGGAGGCAGAGATGAGGGCGGGGCTGGGCGCTAGAAGATCTTCGAGAACGTCGATCTTCAGACAGAGCAGCGGGGATCTGTTGTCGCTCGCTGCTGCGGCAGGGAAGCAGCAGCAGCGCGGAGGTTTGCTGCAGGACCTAGGCAGACGACGCGGTAAGTGGGGTGTTTGCTTGTGGTTTGTTGTGACGATCGTCTTGGAGACAAGGAGATATGTAGATCTCGGGCGCTCGGTGCAGGGCGATCGCGTGCTCGCGATGTGTAACGATGACAACAACAGAGTTTGGGTGGCAGACACTCTGTCCTATTAACGATGTGGGCCAGACAACGAGGCTTCCTGTTGGTGCGTTTCATGAGGGTGAGCCGAGGTAAGCCGAGGTTAATACCGCTACCGGTGCTACCATTGCCAGAAGCAGTGTCTTTCACTAGTGCACCGCCCAAGAACAGTGTGCACAACGTACAGGCGCGTTCTGGATACTTGGGACGGAGGATGTGTCAATTGGCTTGGACGATTTTTTTTGCCCAGCAGTGAGTCGGGGGTTCTTGCACAAACCGGAGATAGATATTATCCCACAGGATGGCCCTTGTTTTGTACTTTCGACAAGTACCGAATTTTTCCAAGAACCATCCCACGCCCGTGCGATGACTCCCGCACCTACGTAGCTTACCCACCTCTTCCAAGATGTGAATCCGCAGTTTTAATCCCCCGTGCTCCGGCCCCCGCCCCGCCCACGTCTCCACAATTCATCGAACCAGGAGTCAATTCCCCCACACAAGTAGTTCCTGGGCCGTCTCCCGGACTGCGCCCCAGAACTCCCGACCAGAAACACATTACTTCTCCTTCCGGTCTCATGCGGGGCTGCGCGGAAGTCTCCTCTCCCAGTCCCCGAGCGTCGACTCCGGCCTCTGCTGCTACAGATGGTACTAGCGTGGTCAAAGCGAAAGCACCAGGGGGAGGCGTTCTTAGACCGCCCGGGGGAGTTGCGCCGAAGCCCCCCCCCGGTTCTTCTTTCGCCGGCGCCGCGGCGGCGGCGGCGGCGGCGGCGGCGGCGGGGTTGCCTGTGCCCGTCGACGGCAGAGGACGGGCCGGACGAGACTACGGCCCCGGCATCCCCGTGACTCGTATCGCATCGTGGTCAACCTTTGGGGACGAAGGCGGCGGAACCATCTTCGGGGATGACGAAGCCGACGCTGCGCGAAGAAGGGGAGAGGGGGGCGGGCGTGACGAGGAGGGGTCTTCGCATATCCGGGTGGCGGGGGGGGGGCTGAGGCGACAGGGGTTGAAAGGCGCTTCTGGTGCGGGGACTCCGGGGCAGGGGCCGAACGAAGAGGAAGAGTCTTCTCGGTCGGCAGACTGGGCGACGTGAGTGCCCACAGAGTAGACGGAAGCCTGGCACACGTTGTGGGGTCCTTTATCAAGTTGCCAGCGTATGCATAGGTGCTGCCAACGATACTAGGAGGTTTAGGCGTTGTTGATGGCACCCCGACCACTGGGGCTGTACTCCTTTTACCATAGTGATATTTGTACTTGTACTGGTAGCGTGTCTGCCATCGCCGCCGCCGCTGTAGGAACACTTCTTTACTGCTGACCCCACCGCTGCTGGCTCTTGTTTTCATATTTGCGTTCATCCAATCTACCTATATAGTTATTTTCTGCGCCACGCGATAGCCTGCTCTTTCAGCCACACCCCTAAATTACCGCTCTACTTAGACATGTTTTTTAGAAGTATCATTTTTTATGTCTCACACCCCCTCCCTCTTTTTTGCTGTTGCGTTTTCGACAGGAACAACCAAAACGGAAAGGCGAGCTTCTTGAGCGACGAGGATCGTGCGATAGAGGCGGCTCAGGGGGGGGATCTGGCCGCGATCAAGGCGTTCCTGGACCGGGGCGGGGACATCGAGCTTCGCGACTCGCTGGGAGGGATGGTGAGAGCTACAACAGTATTCTACCCGCCGGCGAACTGTTACTTTTTGTTGTTGTTGCGTGTTCGTTTTGAGGTTGCTTCCGAATGAGGCGTGTTTCATGTGTGTTGCCATTAAGAAAACCAACACGTGCGACGCTCTCGAAAGTTGAAAGTACGGGCAAACGCATGCGTGTGCGGTCGCGATTTTTGAAGCTTTGCTCTGCAACTAAGGGGCTGCCGATACTACCGGAACTGCTGTCGCTGTTTTCTGCTGTTGGTGTTGCTGTTGCTATTGGTGCAGACGTTGCTGGCCTGGGCGTCCAGACGGGGACACACGGAGTTGGCCCGACTGCTGCTCTCCAGGGGGGCGTCTGCCACAGCGAGGGACGGGAGGGACAGGACCCCGCTCCACCGCGCTTGCTCGGGCTGCAACCCCGACGTCGTGAAGGTGGGTATCACGTGTGTTGTCTTGCTGCTGCTGCTGCTGCTGCTGCTGCTGCTGCTGCGTGTGTGTGTCGCAGCCTGAGTACAACTTGGTGTCCCGGGTGCAGCAGCTGTGCAGCAGCCGTGTTGTTTAAGACTGTGGCTGGTCCGTGATTTTCGTGAGCAGGGAGCTCTGTTGTGGGTCTTGTGTAAGGTTGAAAATAACACTTGCTTCGGCAAGCGTGCTGTCCCTCTGAGAAGTTTGCCTTTTTTTTTCTTTTTGTGTGTGCGAATAGAGGGAATCCACGTGCTGTAAACAGCCAGCGTTAGCGCCGGAGGCACCAACCGAGCGGAAACTTGCTGAGGACGTGTAAAGTAGAAGTATTATACAGTGCACGCCTGTCAATGGGGTTATTTCTCGAGCCTCGCGGGTTTACGAAAAAAGGTCGTGGTTCAGAGCTTCCCACTAAAGCGCATCACACACACTACACACACTACACACACATGTTGGGGGCGGTGAAACCTCTAGACTCTAGACGACGTGTCGGTCTCTTAGCGGAACAATGGTTGATCCGTGGGTGTTGGACTGGACCCTACTTGGTCTGGTCGCGTCTATTGGTGCGTTCCTCGTGTGTCTGTTGGATTCAAGATGGGGCTGTGTGGGCAAACGACCGACCAATCGTTTTTTCCTCGTCTCTGTAGTGACTTTTCTCTTTTCTCTCGTTCCCTCTTTGTCTCGAAAAAAAAAACAACCAAAAGGCGCTTCTTGAGGCCGGAGCCGATCCCAATGCGCGAGACCAGACGTGGAGAACCCCGTTGCATCGGTCGGCTCGATGGGGATCACCGGGTTGTACCACCATGCTCCTCGACGCTGGCGCTGACATTGAGGTAACGTCTTGGTTGTATTGATGTCCTTCGTGGTGATACATTGATATGATACAACTATTATATATCTTCTTCCATCACCGCCTTGCAGTGCGCGCGCTTTTTGGCTCGTTCCATATGTATGGCATACTATGCTATACTTGTCGTCTTTGCGCAATCCCGCGACCACAGAAGAAGGATTTCTCTCTCTCTCTCTGGACCATACCATTGTCGGAGAGAGATTGATCGGTAAACAGATAGGTGCGGGGGGAAGATATGCATGGTGGTCCGCGGAGGCGAGGGCCGTTGTTGTTTTTGATGGTCGAGAACAGCGAACATCCAAGACCAACGCCAACCACACGACACGATGGCCAAACCTCCCCCCGTTTTTCCCTTCCCTTCCCTTCCCTTCCCTTCCCTTCCCTTCCCTTCCCTTCCCTTCCCTTCCCTTCCCTTCCCTTCCCTTCCCTTCCCTCTACAGGCTAGAGACAAGGAGCTGGCTCGAACCCCGTTGCACTCTGCGAGCAGATCGGGAGGGCTGGAGACCACGCTCGTTCTGCTCAACAACGGCGCCGACTTGAATGCCAAGACCGGTGAGCGATCGCTCGATGCCGAATACTATTAATAATACTGCTGTACGATAGTAGGACGCAGATCATCATCATACCGTTTTTGTGTGTCATACCCGTTTCGTGCTCCTTTCCGGGGAGCACACAACACATCAGTGTCGGTTGGTGGAAAACGTGTCGCGTTACATCCCCCGACACCTCAACACGACGGTTTATCTAGAGTCTAGAGTGCCACGTGGCAGACGCGTACCAATCGTTGTTACCCTCCAACGCGTGTGACGCTTGGCGGGCTTGTCAAGTTTCGGAAGCCCCGCTCCGGTTGCAATCTTGGCGCACGGAATTTGCTCCCCAGGTCTGTTTGCGGACTCTCTGACCGTAGCCCCAGCCCATTTCCTTGATGATTTTCTCGACCCCTCGCCCCCCCACGTGCGCCTGCCTCCCCGCCGTTTAACCTTTTGCTGAATAGTTGCTGGGAATACCCCATTGCACTTGGCGTGCGATCGGGGGCTTTTGGGGAACGCGAAGCTATTAATGGAGTGGGGGGCAGATGCCACTGCTAAAAACGAGGCCGGCGCTTTACCGGCAGAGGTGCGTACTGTACGTTAATCGTGCGAGTCTTCCTCCACCTCGTGTTGGCGTAGTTTTTGCCGCTATGCATGCTCGACGCGAAAGCTTTGTTGTCTGCCGAAACCCATCAGCCTTAGCTGCAGCAACCGTAACCCTTCGTCTGTCATCCCTGACCTCATTAGATTTGTACAAGGGCGAGAGGTGGATCGACAGGTGTCGTCTAGGAAGCCGGTTCGGATATTGTCTGATTCTGTGTTGAATGAAAAGAGGCGTGTTCGACGTACGGACCTCCACGAGCAAGTCATTTTCCCCGTTCCTCTTTGTGGCACGCGACCTATACGGTCGTACCGAAGCGCCGCTTGGGCAGACGCAAGCCAGGCACAACGAGAGTTTTGTGTCTGCCCATGCCCTGTCCGTGTTTTGTGGTTGCTTTTCACGACTTTGAAGAGCAAAACCGTTTTGGAATAGTCTCTTTGAATCTACGTTGTGTTCCCAGACTGAAACCGAACGTTCGTTTACCCGCATTTCGTTAATATTTTGTTGCGTGGGCGTACGCGCGCACGTGCGAACGCGAACAAGCAGGTGGCTGCCCCGTGGGTGGAAGACTCGGTAAAGGCTAGCATGCAGGAGTTGCTGGCGCCTAGAAGACAGCCTTCGAAGGAGGGCTCCGATGCTACCTCCCACACCAGACCAACGCCAGCGGTAAGCAGCGGCAACAGCAGTGATGTCACCAGCGGGGAGCAGGTTGCTCGCATGGTGATCGAGGGTATCTGGTAGTATGTCGAACGTCCTTGCGAGTCCTCATTTAACGCGCAAGACGCGGTTGGCTTGGAGCCGAGCTGCTGTTCACGAAAGAAACCGACCTTCTGAAGACGGCTACACTCCAGAGCTGCACGCCATCAAACATACTGCTGTCATACTGTCCTCTCACAGCATGGGGACTCTGCGGCAAGCCTGATGTCGTCCTTGCAAGCACACCTGCACCCTCGAGAAGATACCCCCGTTATCTCAGTAACGGTGGGTGTCTGGCTCAAAACCATCGTGATGGACGTGACGTAATCGCTAACGGTACTCCTCATGATGCTCATCAGGCAGAAGCCGCAGCCAGACAGAAGCAGCAAGGGCGCTGTTGAACTTTCTCTCGTACCCCGCTTCACCAGTCATCACAAACACTGCTTCCCCGTCCATTCGCCAAGGCTAAGGAGCGCGGCTGCAGCTTGTGTTTCCGTTTGCCCGGAAATCGATCTCGGGGATCTCAATCTACGAAGAGGGGGTCCGCAGTCAAACCGCATTTTTCGATCTCTCTCGAAACCCGCAACTCTCCTCAAGCACACCTTTGTAGAGGAGCGGCACCGTCACGGGAGTCGCGCTGCTCCGTAGTGAAGCCACCCCATTTTGCATTGCGTATGTGTGGCAGCGTCTAGCGGAGCGAGGCCAAGAACACAAGACGGTCGGGGCCTCCAATCGAGCGGGACCTCCCATGGAGTATATAGCCCTGTCCTTTCAGTATCCGCAACCCTGCAGCAGGTGGCAGAACGTCCTCCCGGCTGCGAAAACACCATCCCAAGGGCCCCTTGAATCAATTCACCTACGTTTCCCCCCACGACCAACTGTTTTTTTGGCTCCCTCCTCTGCCTGCCGTGAATCCGGGTCGGGTCTGATGTTTTGGCATGACAGGTGGTTCGGCCGAGACCGAAAGGAGCAGCGGAGGAAGAAGCGGGGTTAATGGAGTTCATCCGATCGCAACGAAATTCCATGGTGAGATGTGATGCTGCTGTTGTCGGTATGTCTTGGGTGCGTTTCAACTTCTATGTTGCGGCGCTACAACACTACATACCGTGAACGCCTGCGCGATGGACGCCATAATTTTCGTACACCACCCGCCGGATGACACGATGCCGGACGCTATTCGCGACGACCACGCCTGATTTTCTTCGCAGGCGGAGTGCCCCGAGTGCCAACAGGACATGCTCCGACAGACCCACGCCTTCAACAGCGACGGTGTGCCCATCGGGCTTTCGAGTGCACACGGCACTTACAGGATCTCGTCCGCCGGGAGCCCGGGAAAGGTCAAGATGTGCTCCGCGCATCGCGCGCGAGCGCAGCCCGGCGAAGGTGGCCTGCCCGGGCTCGACGAGGGCTTTCAGCGCGGCCTGCTAGGAGATGCCATGTTGGGGGAGGGGATGAGCGAGTTTCGTCCCCGGAAGGGGATGGGCAAGAGCCGAAAGAAGCAGCTCTCGTCCAAGAGCAAGTACGAGGGAGGATGCTGCAGTGTACAATAGTAGGAACAACTCTACCTGCCTTGGTTCTGCATGGCTGGAGCCGTGTGGCCGGCGAGGTTTGCAGCAGCGTGGCGGAGGAGACACGGGGAGAGGGGCCAAGGCCAGGCGGAAGGGGGTGCATCCGGTCTTTCGGTATGGAACATGTGTGGGAGCAAACTTCAGTTCGTGCTGTGCCGTCCGGTGTGTTTGTTCAAGGGGTTCACTGACAAGCTGTCGGAAGAGTAGTGCTGTCTACTCTCCAAGTACATGTGTCGAGTATGAGTGCCAAGAGTCCACGGTATTTTTGCGTCTTGTTGTCGTTTTTCGTTGATGACATCTGTCACTATTTGTCGCGGGTCCTGTCTGACAACGGGACCCCCTTATATGGGTGTGCTCAATTTACGTGTTGGTGTTCGCATCGTATTGTCTTCCGTATTCTATTTTATCCGTTTTTTTAAGACCTTGTAGAAGTACCGTGTCGCGCACGCTGACCGAGCGCAAGCTGTTTGTTTTGCAGCAACAGCAGCACCATTAGGCGGAACGCAGGCATGCATGCCTGTTTGTGCCGTTCCTGCGACTGCTGTAGGACTTTTGTGTGCAGGGGACACCCGACGTGTAGCTTTCTCCTACGCGATAAGCATCATGCATACAGCGGCGTGCTAAAGTCTGGCTGATGGTCCTCTGGCGATTTACGGAGAAGAGGTGCATCCCTACTCTTGATACTTTTGAGACAACTTCTTGTCCAATATTCCCGACTCAGAAAGCCGTTGGTTTTACGCTTCTGCCGAGTCCAGAAGTATGTTCCACGTTTGTTATGTGTAGCCCGTTCTTCTTCTTGTCTTGTTATCATGGAAAGGCGTTGGTTGTCCTTGTAGATAACGATGGGCGGTTTTGGTGTCGCACATGCATGTATACTTGGCTCATCCATGGCGTGTCATCGAGGGGTGTTTTTTCGTGGGTGTCGAGATGGTGATTTATGCGTCTGCTGCGGGTGGTCTATGGAACCTCCCAACCTGTAGAAACTGGAGCGGATGTTCACTGCTACGGTAGGAGAAGGGGTTCCGCCATATGCGTATTACTCTGTCAGTGCAAACTAGCGTATCGCTCGCGTCGTGCATAGCTGGGTCGAGTGTTTTAGGGTCCAATAGCCTGGTGTTGTTGTGTTGATGCACGCCCATCTCTCGATGGCCGATTTTCCATCGCTACAGTAGAAAGCAGCGGTTGTATTTCACCCAAATCTCCTGCATGTACCATAAGACCGTTTCGTTGTCGCCCGTATGTTGTATGATGTGATGGGCAATGGTACGAGATCGGGGGGGGGGGGGGGGGTCCTTCACGCGTTGGGTTGATTCGATGAGGTAAATATGTAGCTCACGGTACGGATGTATGTCCGGTTCTGGGAAGCCACTTGAGCTTATTCTCTGCGTTGGATTTACGCCAGTAGTCTTTGGTGGAAATGGTTGATAATTCAAACGTTGCTGGTCCCAAATTATCAATATACAGTACTCTTTCTGAATGCTTCCGAAGGCCGCCATAGACCCAACGGTACTGACGACCGGCTTATCGGCTGACACTCAATCAGCCACGGCTGTCTTCGAGCCAGAAATGTTTCCCTGTGAAAGCTGGATCTACAACAATAGAGACGATCCCACCTTCGAAACAGAGTCAGCGGATTCTCCAATTCGGACCGTGTCTCTGGGAGTGGGTTTAGAACGATTGGAAGCTCCATGCCGTCACACGCTTTTTCGTTTTTTTTTATTTGACTTGGTTCGATCTTTGACACCGGGTTTTTAGGGTCACAGTAACACTCTACTCTGACATATAATCGTGCTTTTTCTACTCTTGGGCCGCCTGGTTCGCGGAAGACCCCGAATAACCCGGCTGTCTGCTTGGTCTTCAAAAGATTTTCAATTTTCATCAAGGTGGTGTCTACGGACCCACGTGCCGTTCGGATTTGGTGATTTATTGGATTGGAGCAACGATTTAATTGTTTTTCCAGGAAAGAAGGCGCGAAAAAGAGCAACGGCGATAATGATAAAAGTCTCTTCGGCCTAAAAGCTGGTCGCAGACGAATGGTGCGCAAAATCGCGAAGGTCGCATTTCTTTTTTTTTTCTTCATTTTTGTCATACCCTTTTTTACCCTCGGCTGACACTTTCTTTCTACGTACTCCTTTGGCCTTCTCTTTGAACAGAGCTCCGTCTCGGGGTCGAAGAACCCTCTCTGCAGGGCATTCCCGGTTCACCACTCAGTTTATTCCTTTGCGAAGGTCACTCATTTTATTCCTATGCAAAGGTCACTCATTCTATTCCTATGCGAAGGTTTCAGCCGTCCTACGCTCAAGGTCTACTACAGTAGCGAACACGCGCTCCACTGTTGTAGCGACAAATGAACGCGGACACAAACACACAAAACGAAACACCACGAGAAAACACCAGAAAGCGCGACACAACGCGTTTCTGCCGAGACAAGATCAACCAAACTCCGAATACGAAACATAATATCGTCACTATCCACTACGTGACGCAATCATCCATAAAGGGTGTAACTCTCCTGGCGGGTCTGGGGGGTTCGCGTGCCCCAACGTATCCCTTTCTCGCCTGCAGAGCCCCCCTCCCCAGTCATTCTAGACCCTCCTCCGCTCTCTTGTTTTCTGTATTGAAAACCAACACCCCTTTTCTATCATGCCGAGTAGGCGGGCGCTGTGCCCATTCGTTGCAACAAAACATAAATAGGGCGTGAGCAAGAACACGGTCTCGCAGAATGCTCTTGAGGCTTAAATACTTCGGGGTGCCGATTCATCCGTGTGGAGCGGTGATACGTCTCTGCGCACGTGCGCACCCGAGCTCCCCCAGCCCCCGCCATCCCGTGCGACGAGAATTTCACCACGTTTCCGCTGCATCCATCCCTTAAGCGTGCCTGACACAAACGGTTATCGGCCTTGCAACCCAGGTCAGCCGGTTAACGCGGTCGATGCAAATAAAAAAGAAACACACACAATCAATCAACACACCAGCAGCGTCTACGGCGACAACACTGGCATTCGCTACAAATACCGATTTTTGGCGACACAAGGTAGGGAAAGAACACGCACGTCATCAGCAGATCCGGCGGGCCTTGCAAGAAGACCAAACCCGTGATCCAAGGCCTTCTATGTTCCCACAGGCGTACGCACCCACCCCTTGTACATATACTTACATACGCAAACGCCCACCCAGATCGAAAGAACCACGCCATACAAAACCACCACTACAATGCCCACCCAGACGGAACAAATGACGCCCTACACGTGTAACATAACCAACGAAAAAACAGTCAGTTACACACGCTTAACACTGTGCACACGTTGTAGTATACTTTAACTAGGCTCCCATGGCATGTTGTCAAACAAGCAACGGAAACGATTTTCCTGCCCGGCCTATTGGAAGCTAGCGCGTTCCTTAGGTTTCTTTATGGCTTGCAGCGCCACTGCCGTTGGCCGCTCCGCTGCACGGCTCTTTCAAGCTCAGGTCCTTGGCTGTCAGGAGCGCCGACTTGGCTCTCGCAATCAATACGCGAGCAATCCACAGAACCAGCAGGGCCGCAACCTCTAGGATGACCAGACCGACCACGGCAGCCACCAAAACAGGCCACGTCTCTTCGTCCGCGGTCTCATCCTCCGCGTTCTCCCACCACTGCAGCCTCCAGACAAGGTACGCCGTCACCAGCACCTCGGTGAGCGCCGAAGCAAGCCATATCAACGAGTTCCCGAACACACTGAGGTACCTGAACCGGCCGGGAGCGGAGAAGTAGTACACGATCTCGGCCAGCGTGCCTCCGAACGTCACGACAAGAACGCCATACAGCATGATGTTCAGGAACTTGTACTGGTTCTCGCTAACCTCCGTCTCGAGAATGCCACCCGGGAGGAACCGCAGCAGGCACCAGATCGAAAAAAGACCCACGCCCTCCACCACCGATGCGACGACGACCAGGCCTCTCACGGACAGAGGATCTCTCCAGCGCTTGTAGCCCACGTACGCCTCCACGAGCTCGAGGCTCAGCGAAACCACGAGCAACGCGATCGTGATGTCTCCGAAACCTTCCGGGCTCAGCGGCCTGCAGTTGTCTTGATACTCGAGCTCTGAGCTGTCTAGGAGCCAATCGTAGGTGGTACCGTACTCTTCCTGCAGGTCCGCAGTCAGCGCAATCACAGGCACCGCGACGCACAAGCCTTCGATTTCGTCACGGGTGGAGCTTGCGGACGTCCAGGTGCAACCGGTGCTAACCTTGTCGTACTTGGCGCAATCGCACAGCTGGTCGATGGCCGGGTCTTCGAGGCCACTGCAGCTGGTGAACGTGCTCACGGTTCGGTCTTCGTCGAACCAAACCACCGAACTATCCAGCTGTTCGCAGTTTGAAGACAATCGGTCGTTGTGGTACAAGGAAAGGGCCCGTACTCCGCAGTCCGCTTCGTCGAAGACCCCAGACGCTATTGCTTGCGCCAAGGTCCAAAACGTCGCTCCAATCTCCAAGAACAACCCCAGAGACAGGAACGCCGCCGCGTGCTTCATTCCCCTTCTGGCTTGCTTCTTGAGATAAGCAGCACGATAATTTCGCTGATCCTCGGAGGCGGTGCTGGTCGCAGCCGTGCCATCTGCGTCGAAATCCGGCTGGGATACTGCCGACGGAACAGAAAAAAAAGCAGGAGGGACGTTCACCCGGTTCAAGCAAACGCATGGCTGTTAGACACACACGCGATAACGCCAAGTACACGCAACCAGCAGGAAACAACGTTCGACGCATTTTCTCTTACAAATAATCATGTTCTTCCACCTGTAGGAAGAAGAGTTCACCGCTCGAGCCATGTCAAACGGCCCATCCTACACCAGTTTCCCAATGTTAACAGAAAAATATTTCAAATATCTCGGGTAGGTTACTTTAAACCCGACAACACAAGCCGGCTGTGCACGACAAAAAATAGGTTATGTTGCGACCTTCTGTTGCGAAAAACCGACTTTACGATTCTCGATAGACGCGCACAGATTAATACCTCTTGAAAGTCTTCACACAGAGGTTTTTCTTCCAGTTATAAACACTCGTAGCTCGACAAAATCGAACACTGTCCAGAACAAAGATTGACCTTCACAATTTTCCCCAAATTTTCAGTGATGTCGGTTACCGCGGTACCGAATTGGCCGTACCGAAGTCGGGCCGTCAGTAATTTTATTTTCCCACGTAATCACGTAACTCAAGGGGGGCTCCGCAGAATCACGGACCCCCCCTGTAGGGGGGGGCGCATGTTCAGAACACAGAGATCGGCGATGCCAGCTCGGAATAAATCATAAGAATGCAAGAAAGTTTATATCTGTCTGCGGAAGAGTGCTGCTGTCGCCGGTAGATGGTACATCGTACCGTTGGGAATTGGGAGACGCTTTCATTGTCAAGCAAGGTTGGACGATGTCGGATATTGTACCGGGAGCCGGAGAGGGCTCGCAATCAGGGGGTGCAAAAATAAAATAATAGAATGCTTCCTTGTGTTCTTGGGCTCTGGGCTGAACGCCGCCGCACGCGGGTTGTTGTTGTTGTAGCGAAGTATCTGATTTCTGGTAAGCATGCACTTCGAAGCTTCGAAGGAATCAGCACCATGACATAATAAATGTTTTGAGCTTTGAAACAAGAAACAATCAGGGCACTGACAGAGTAGTTCCAGCATGTCGGCACTAGCTCTAGTGCCAGTACAAGAAACACAGCATACACAACTGGCTCAAAAGTGTTTTACGCTTGCTTGAAATCTCGCAGTGGTTTGTGCGACACACAAATCACGGGTTGGGGGCTTTATTTTCGCTATGTCGGCGAGACATCGTGGATACAGCGTGTACGCCCCCCCCTGCTGGTTCGCTGGTTCTATGGAAAAACTATGACATATTATAATGCGTTATAATATGTCATAGTCTTTGGTTCTATGCCCCCCCCTGGTGATTCGACGTCCCCCCCTGATGATTTGACGAGCCCCCCTGGTGCTTCGGCCCCCCCGGTGTTGCCGTAATTGGCGTAAGTGTAGTACAATTCGCCTAAAATAGGTAATTACGCGTAAGTAATTTCTTCAAAGTGCGGTAACCGACATCACTGCAAATTTTCGACACAAGACCCAAACA